ATTTCACATACATATATGTACGTGCTTGTATATATATATATATATTTATATATATATATACACATATTAAACATTGTTCGTTTATTCTATTCATTTTACTTTCTTTGTAGATTGAACAAGAAAAACAACAACAGAGCTGATTTTACCATAAGGAGCAGGGGAAAAAACAATTTTCTTAACATCAATGAAATCTATTTAAAGAATAAGTTTAATTGAAAATCGAATTTCGAATAAACGAATGTGGTTTTAATGAAACCCGATCACATGTTCTAAAACTGTTATAATACGGCAAGAGATCTAAGTTTTTTTGTCTCGTTAAGAAAGTTATTTACATTGAAAAAGTACCCCATTTGTGCCTGTGATTCTATCACCATCATCTTTCGTTCTAAACAAGACATTGCACATTCTACAAATGAGTGCTCTATTCAAAAAACGTACTGGTTTTCTTCATAAAAATTTTAGTTTCGTTAGAAAAAGCATGACGGAATCGTCATCGAACGATCAAGTTACTTGGTCTAAAAGAGTGGAAATCTCGTCTTTCTTTTATATTGTTATTTTGGACATAGATTTCGATAGATAAAGAGATTTTAAAACTTCACTGTCTAATCATGAAATCGCTTTATTTTGTTTTTTCCTTATTAAAATTGAAAGCAGCTGTCATTAGAGAATTTTTATGTTATCAAAAGGATGATTGAAAATCTTTTTTCATAATAGGAGATAGTAGTTTATTTGTTCTGAGGAATTTAAGTTTAACATTGAATCAAATTTTCGTTTTTTTTTTCTTAAAACCTTCAATAAGAATTAAATTTATTCTATTTTATTTTAAGTGAAATAATAAATTGAAAAAATCTCGATGAAAAGTTTTTCTCTTAAAAAAAAAACTGATCAAGAGAATATCCATCGAAAATGATAAATAGAAAGATCTTCAAAATTCAATAATCAATCAAAAAACAAATCATTGTTCATTTACCTATTACACAAAATACTCATCGTAGTAACACATAAGCTTTTAAAATTGTTCTAAGAAATTTCATTTTCCTAATTTCACAACGAATTTAACGTAACATATTTAATTAGATTTCAAGTGTATTTTATTAAAATGAATTTCATTATTTATTGAACCTTCGTTTACATTTACCAAGCGAAATTCAATGTAAAACTTTAAAACTATGATACCATAAATATTCAATATCGTGAATTACAAACAAATATTTCGAACACAAAAATAAAATCTTTATATCGTTATTGAAATTTGATTATTTAGTGTGTCATTTAATGAGTTTACTTTTTTCCAGTCAGTTGAAGAATTTTGTGCTCGATCCCTTGACGACGTGAATGATCAATAGGAAGAAATTTTTCGTATATAGTCAATGCACGCTGATAATAGTCAAGTGCTATCTTTCGCTTGTTTTGATTTTCATAACAAAGACCAATATTGTTCAAGCTAGAAGCAATATCAACATGACCAGATGGATGAAATTTCTCTCGAATTTTCAATGCTTGTTGATGATAATCAAGAGCTTCATCGTAATTTCCTTGATTATAGAGAATTTTTCCAATATCATTGAGAATTGTAGCAATATCGACATGACCAGATGGATAAAATTTCTGTTGAATTTCTAATGCTCGTTGATAATAATCAAGAGCTACATCATATTTTTCTTCATCGGAGAGAATATTACCAATATTATAGAGACTTTGTGCAATATCGATATGACCTGATGGATAAAATTTTTCTCGAATTTTCAATGCTCGTTGATGATAATCAAGAGCTTCATCATATTTTCCTCGAGCAGAGAGAATAAGACCGATATTGTTCAAGCTATGAGCAATATCAATATGACCAGATGGATAAAATTTTTCTCGAATTTTCAATGCTCGTTGATAATAATCAAGAGCTTCATCATACTTTCCTTGAGCAGAAAAAATATTACCAATATTGTAAAGACTTGCAGCAATATCAACATGACCAGATGGATAAAATTTCTTTCGAATTTTTAATGCTCGTTGATGATAATCAAGAGCTTCATCATATTTTTCTTGATCGGAAAGAATAAGACCAATATTATTTAAACTTGCAGCAATATCAGCATGACCCGATGGATAAAATTCTTCTCGAATTTTTAATGCTCGTTGATAATAATCGAGAGCTTCATCATATTTTTCTTGATTATCAAGAATAACGCCAATATTATTAAGAACACGAGCAGAATCTTTGATTCGTACTGGTTTACTTTTCATCATTCGATCATATGCACGATCATAATATTCTCGAGCTTCATTCCATTCACCTTTATAATCAAGAGTTCGACCAATATTAAATTCAATCCAAGCACGATCTTCATCTTGAGAATCATTGAATAATTGTTGAAAATATTTTTGTGATTTATCATATTCACCTAAATCACATAATAATCTTCCAAAAACAATTGAAATACTTATTTCTTCTGTTTCTTTTTGTGTTAATTCAATAAAATCATTTGTAATTTTTTGTCCTTCATTTGAAAGATTCATTTTAATTATTTGTAATGAATCATTTTCTTCTATTGATTCTATTTCAAAACAAGCATTTAAATCAAATAAAATTTCTTCTTCTTCTGGATATGCACTAAATTGTTTAATATCAGCAAAAATAATATTTTTATCAATTTGTTTAATATCACATTGAATATGAAAAAGAATAGAAACAACATCAATTCTTTCTGTTGGTTTTAATGCAAAATTTAATGCTAATGATTTTCGTCGACTAGTTGATAAATATCCATTTGTAGAAATAAGTTTTTTTTGATTTTCTTTTAATTTATTAAATTCTTCTTTATTAAGTTGAACTCCTCGATAAACATTTAAATTTTTTTCTTTTGATAATAAAATTTTTTCATGTTCATATTGAAGATTTTTTGAAAGATCACCAATAAAAAATCGAAATATATATAATAAATCAATATCTTCTGTTCTTAATGCTTTATTAATTAATTTATAAATAAATGATTGTTTTGAATACCAAAGAATAGCATCTTTTGATTGATAACTTTTTTCAAATTGATTAATTAATTTCATTTCATTTGTATTTCCACGATAATAATCTTTACATATTTGAATCATTTGTTGTTTAGCTTGTTGATTTCTTGGAAGACGAGTAATAACATAATTAAATAATTGAAACCAAAGAAATTCTGCTGATTCTTTTGATAAATCTTTAGTTGATTTTTGATGTTGATCAAAAAATGAAAATGTTTGTATTTGTTTATCGACAAGATCAATTTGTTCTTTTATTGATTTATATAAATCATTAAGATTAATATAAATTCCAATAATTTTTTTAAAATCATTTAATAAATATTCATATCGAGTTTTTCGTATACAAAAGATAAATATTGAATCTATTTGACGAAGAGAAGAAATTCGAGATAAAATTTCTGATGCTTTTGATCCTGATGTAATTAAAAAAATTTTTTCTTTATTAATTGATTCAATAAATGTAATACATTGTTCAAGATCAGTAAAAAAAATAACATAATCATTAATAAGACGTAATGCTTGTTTTGTTTTTTCAGTATCTTCATTTGATCCAATATTTGGATCAAACCAAATAAGTGTTATACTTTCTTTATTTTCATTATTTGTTATGGTTGACAATTGATCAAGTGAAAAATCATTTCTTGTTTTATTACTTGATGTTAATGATTGTCCCATAATGATTAAAATAAAAGTTTCTTATTAGTAGAATCTAAATGCAGAATATGAAAAAAAAATCGATGAAGATCGAAATGAATAAATATTTTCTTCAGCCAACAGCACATGCACGAATTTTTTCTTTTTCTTTTTTTGTGTTTTTTATATATTGTTGCTTGGTAAACCTTTTGTTCTGTTATTTTTTTATTCATGAGAATTTATTTTTTTAATCCTTTACCTTCCCATTGACAACTGGAATTTCTATTTATAGAAACATTGCAGAAAATGCAGAATGTCTGATATCAAAAAATTCTTCACAAACTGTGTGTAGAAAACTATCGATTGGTAACAAACGTTTGCTCTGTTTTTAAGATATTCGACTTATAAAAGAGACGATTATGGGATTATTTTAAAAAAAGAATCGTGTCTTTTTAAATTGTCTTTTTTTATCTACGAGAAACACTTATCTTGATGATGTGCTGCACGATAAATATCGACGAAAGTTGCTACTATCGAATAAAATGCATTTGAAAATTTTCACATGAATTAGTTGAAAAAGACAGGATATCTTAGGCCAGGATCGCTTTCCAAGTACAACCTCATGAACTCTATCAGATCTACTAATAATTTCTCAGAGAACATTGTCTTATTAGCCACAAAAAAATTATAGCAAAACACGAAAAAGCCCTATAAACTTCAGAGCAACCTGTCACAATTCGACCATGAGGGTGTGGGTGTGGGTGTCCTCTATAGGAGTATCCACACCCTATTCTCATTACAGTTGGAAAAGTTGTGAAAGAATGAGCTTTCTCGAGAACATAATCATTCTGGTACTTGGCAGAAGTTCTCTTGTTTGCTTTTTCACTCAGTCATTTTATGATATTTCATTAAAAATTATGCATTATCAAGAACCGAGAATACGAACATCAAGAGAACGCGAACCGTTCTTCTGTCAAATTGAGGAGCTTGTTGAATAGAGATACGAGTAGATACTAATGGAAAATAACTCAATTGACATGTTTTTAGGCAACACTTGCAGTTCTCTTTTTCAGATGAGTCTGATAGTAAAGCACATAATATATTGTAGTAGATGTCTAGCATAAAGACGCTTGATATTTTAAGTTTGTATTTATATTTTCAAAAGAAGACAAATGCATAAATCAGATGACAATTTTGAAATGTAAAAGAAAATTTGATCCGGTATTGATGAAAAATGATGTTTTTAGGATTGATTTGTTTGGTTTAACTTGAGTATAAGGATATATTTATTAATTAACAGTAATTGACAAACATCGACATTCAAATCGAATGTAAACGAGGATTCGTTTCTATTTCTGAGGAAAAGACCAATACACATCGGTATTATATGGTACCTCGAACTCTTGCTCTGGCATATCTTCGGTATGATCGATTATTTGACGCACTTTCATAATAAATTTTTCTTTTTCTTCAGACGACAACATCGCAATAAAGCTGATTGACAAAAATCGATTAATAATTGTCTCGCGAGTCATTTGTTGTGTATTGGCAAATTGTTTGTGCTGCAAACATTGAAAGAGATTTTGGTTCTCATAGACTGCCTTCCATTTCTTTGATCTATGGAGTGGTATTTCAGGTGGTCGATAACTATCCTTGAGTTCTAATATTTGTTGTGACCAGCTGTATCTCGGATAATCAAGTAAATTCCAGATAAGTACGAGTAAACCGTTGGGTTTGAGGACTCGATGAATTTCGGTTAAAGCTCGTTCATTTGCAAACCAATGGAATGATTGACCACAGAAGATCACATCAACAGTATTATCATCGAGAAGAATATGTTCTGCAGTACCATCGATGATTCTAGTAATCGATGGAATTGACTTCAAATTTTCACGCATTTCTGAAACTGGCTCGATGGCAATGATTTCTTGAGCACCGAAAGTTGACAATAAGCGCGTCAATTTACCAGTTCCAGCACCGAGATCAACAATAGTTGTAGGCGTAGGACAGAGTGACTTGATAAACTGAATAGCTTCATTTGGATAGGATGGTCGTGCCTGATCGTAAATGTTGGCTGCATTTTGAAAACCTATAGCAGCAATGGGATTCATATCGTTAGTATCAGCCATTATGGCTCCTTTCTGAAAGAAAAACAATTCAATAGTATAATTATCACTTGATGGTATCAGGTGAAAATGATTCTATCTATTTGATTGATCACTGTCTCTATACATCACTAGTCCTCTTGTAACATATTGTCGCATTGTTTGGTAGGCGAACAGTTGGAAATATTTTGTACAAAATGAACTTCCATGTGGGGACTTTTCAAGGACAATGGATTTAATAATTCGAAGCTAAATATAACTGATAGCTGGTAAAGCAAGACCTGTTATAAGTGTTCATATTCAATTCATAACTGTGAATTAAAAACCATGAAAGCAAAATGTTATTTTGTATGATTGAAGTGGGAATAATAAAAAGTCGAAAATAGTTGAATTGAGTCATAATTCATGTTGAAAATGTTTTTCATTGGAGCAGAAACAATCATATAGCGTAGAGTTATCTTTAGAGTTGAGATAAGAAATACTCACTTTTCGATAGATATCGTTAGTAGTTGATTGGAATATTACCCTGGGTTCTAAAGTACTAGTCATTTTTCAAACAGTTTTAGGCTTTAAGATTTGTTATCATTCACACATTCTGCTTCACAGTATTGATTTTTTTTTTGAAAAAACTATCCAACAAGTAATCAAAAATGAGTCAAATTCATCTTGAGTTAATGTACACTGCCGAGATGTATGATCCATCAATAGGAACTTGACCGAATACCACCAGCATGAGTGCTCGACGGTAAAAGTTTATCGCGTTCTATTGAAAAAATTAATTCTTATGAATAAAAAAAAAACTTCAAGTAAATTTTGAATCATTCGTATGTTTACAGAGATGATAAAGCCAAGAAATATGATTACCTAGTAAACCATAATATCAGAGGTTTCTGAGTTTGAAAGCAACAGAATGAAGAGATAAACTGGCACTAATAGCTTGCTTTATTCGGAATAGATCTATATTTTTAACATGTTGGACCATCTGTATTCAATGCTTGAGACAATTATTTATCTAGTTCATTTCCTTTCCATGTTAATTTAAATGGTTTTCGTTTCATCGATAGCAGAATGATGTCGTCCATTTAATTCGAGATTTAATTTCTTTAACAAATCTTTCATATTTCGAATTCGTGTTGTTGAATAATATTTCATATATAATTGTTTGATATTAATAAAATGATTAATAAAATCAGGTCGATTCAAATTACTTTGTTTCAATTATTGTAGAGATTAATGAATGTTTAGCTAAAAATGTTTGAATTTTCTTCCATACAATATCGAATGTTGAAACATTATCGATAATATCTTGAGTAATACCGGTTATTGAAATATATAATTCATTCAATTTATTTCTAATTGATAGTCGAACAAAACTATAGTAAATATCGATTATTTGATTGATTTCAGTTGATAATAAACAAATCGGAAATTTAATTATTTCTCAGATATTGCCAAGCATCGATTTAATACACAATAATAATCAAATAGTTGGTCAACACTCTTGATAACTATTGGATTATCTTTAGCACAAACAAATGGAATAATGCCAACCAGCTATTCAACATACGTATTTGTATACAATTGATTTTTCTGCTAGTTCGATATTGATCATAATATCCTGATCTAAAAATGTATCTTGTTGAACATATGTAATGATATACGCATTGTCTTCAATTAGTTCAACATTGATCGATTGCAAATTCGAACTGATTTTAGTGATCGACTCCTTTCAGGAGTAGTCAGAAGTGTTTTGAGGTATAATCATCTTCGAGATGAAAAAATGTGTCAATATCGACAATAAACTTATCTTGAGAGTTGTTTTCGTGTCCAAACGAAGGAACATCCTTGGTACGATACATATTCTCACTGTATTGGCTTTGTACAATTTTCTTTTCAACAATATCTCGATCATCGATAACTACTGAAAAATGAATTGACGATTGCTAATTGTCTATCAATCGAAAAATAATAAAATGTGATGATTGATATTTGTTTATTGTTTTCAAATAGTTGCTTTAGAGTTCATGGTTTTCGTTGTTTTTTTTTCTAACTCGTACAATGAGTTATGTATGCACATGAATGCTGCAATGCTTTTCTTTTTGTTTCTCAGTTTTTCTTTGTTTTTATCGTTTTCTTTGCTGGTTTATTACCAAAACTCGAACAAAAATTACATTTCAACGTCTATAACGACTAATTACAATGATTCTTACAATCATTCACTGCTATTGCATATGGATGGGATTGAGATAACCGATGATATTAATACATATGATATGATGAATGTCCATGATGATGCAAAATGGATGACGTTCACATGTCTTCTCATTTGAGAACATTAAGCCGAAATTTTCGTCGTTCCAATTCATCAAATGGTGTGGATGTACCGTATACAAGAACAACATCTACATCCACACCCTTCATTGGCCAAATAAATTCAAAACATGCAGCAACAAAGGTCAAATGCTTTCTACTGTGCATGAACATTTTTTTTTCTTTTTCTATCTCTTCTATTGTTATTTATCGGACGAGTTGATATGACCATTAATGCTGTTTTCAATATTCATCCTGTATGTTGTTCTCGCAGAAGGAAATCGGTTTGATTATTTGGGCTTGACGGTACGTTTTGCTTTCACTGTCGGATATCAATTATCTTTGTTTTTTTGTTTTGTAAATTGAATCTATTGTATATTTCATTCACTTACTGCTCTGAATAAATTTCAAGCAAGTGTGTATTAGCGAGATGACAGAAAATACGCCACTCAACAACTTGAAAATTTATTTTTTTCATCAACTTTTTTCTATTAATATACAGAGTATTTAATACAAATGGTCTCGATTATTCTACTAGAGTACAAAGCGCATGTCATATTTTTATAATGAAAAATTGTATTTTCAAAAATATTTTTGTTAATGGACAGGGCCCATAAATGCAACTAAATAACAGTTATTACGCGTAGACATTCAGTGAATTCGTTACACTTCATTGCCAGTCTTAATGCTTTTCTTTTAAACAGTTTCACAAACATAAATAAAATTTCAATTAATCATCACATCGAGCATCACATCTACAAGACAAGCTAACATTTTCTGAATAGAAAACAGTAACGATTGACAAATGGTAACAATTTGACATCTTCGAACTTTCTTTCATTGCACTTTATTTTTAAATATATACAAATTACATAATAAAAACAGATCCCTGAAACAGATAAAGCTGAAAAACCTATAGCATCCTTTAATGTTTACCACGACATTTGCATACCCCAACTCCGCAAAATTGGGCTCCAATAGAACCGAAACCAGCACCTGCACCAGCACCGACAGCAGCACCACCAGCCGTGCTAAGAGCAGCACCACCCATAGCAACAAGAAAACCAGCAGCACTAAGCGGACCCAGAATGGCTACAAGAAATACAGAGACACCAGCAAGGGCGCCTACACTCAAAGCACCGACCGCAGAGCCCTTGCAAGCACCAGCACGCATACCATGATCTCGACATTTGCCGCATTTACGACAACGACGACCATCACACTCTAGCGTTTTAGTGGGTAATGGCATAGACGCTAATGATATTAATTATTGATCTTCAAAAGAACAAAGTCTATTCTTACTATGAAATCATTTTTCAAAAGGACAAAATCGACAACTTTCTAATGGAACTTTAACATAGTTTAACGATCGATTACGATCATCAAAGATTATCAGATGGTGAACATCATATATAGTGGAATCGTTCAAAATACTCTGTCAACAGATAATCAGAAAAACTGAAACCTAGTTCAGACATTTTTGAATGAAAAGAACCTTCATACTGATGAACAGTACACATAATCAATTTTTGTGATTTAAAAAATTTTCTATAGTAAAGCAAACAATTTGATGTATAGGAGCTTATTTATCCTGGATGTAGAATCAGACGGATGGCACTACTCTCCTTTTATTAATATAATATCGTGTCACGAAGTGTATCTCTTAAAGAATGTTTCTTAAGTTTTTACTCACTATCGAAATCTTGCGTTTGAATACAAAATACAAATAGTAGATGCAATTTATAGACATCGGAAAATGTCAAATACGACGTTTGTTAAACAGTGATGTCATTTTATGTCAACGGACGCCTTTCTAGCACGTTGTTCTTCCTTAATATTACTCATTACGTCTCATTCTGTGAAACACATCGGCGCATATTTGTTCTTGTCTACGCCAAATGTACTAGTTCTGTTCGCAAGGAGAAAAATTTTCTCCCCCGTGTTCGATTACACGCATATTGCTTCGTAAATATACCGCAATGCAAATATACATTGAGTCATGGTGACAATCGTAGACGTGAAATCACGCCTGGTAGGACGGTTATGACATTATCGTGAATAAATACATCGATGTAGGAAAAAATTATGCGATGATGAAAAATTTCACAATCAGTCAGAACACTACGCAGTCTGTGAAAGAGCTCAATGAAAAAATATTTGAAAAAAGAATCACGTAGTCATCCACAATGTAAGAATGAATGGTTGAAATACAAATGCTTGCTGTCATTAGAAAATTTGTGTTTTCTATCGCTTCTAAATTACGCTGTAACTTGAGCCGTACTGACCGCAAAATAGCAGCATGAAAAAAAAATGCGTGCAATAGATTTTAAAAGTGTCACATAGGTTGTTTTTTGAGGTGTGTTAAATAGGAAAATTTACCAAGATGATAGACCTCAATTTGTTTAGTATTCTTTCAGAAAGTAAAATTCATTAGTCTTGATTTAGGCGAGTCAAATGTGAAAGTTTTCTTAGCATATTCCAGACCTAACGATAGGTTGTATACTGTCCATCAATGGATCAAAAGACACGTTCACAGAGGTCATTTTCTGAACTAATGTACGAATTTTAGGATCGATATCCAAAGGCATCCGAAAGAATGAGTTTTTATTCGAAAGTCAATGAAATACTATGAAAAAAAAAGATTTTCATCAGAAGATAAGAAAAAAATCATTTTGAAACAATTAACTGAAGTTATTGTAATACGCTTTAGGCACTGGGTGACAGTACAGTTGATTCTATTAGATCTATTCAAACAAAAAAAAGCTTTCGCATCATTTGTTCATTTCCATTCAAACTTCACTAGTAGGTGCTTCGCTTAAGTAACCACTAGCGCAATAATATAAAAAATGTATTTCTGAGCATTTTTTTAAATTTCACAGTTGTTGCTGTGAAAAAAATATCTCTAAAGACTTTTTACAGGTAAAAAGAGACTATGTGTGTGTAGAAAAAACTTTACAAAAACAACTTTTTTTTCATATAGATGCAAATTTCTTGAAGTGCTCTTAGTCTTATGAAATTAATCGACGTTATTTTTTTTCCAATTTTCTTTCATACAGCGATAGATTAGTGCCTAATGTCAGTAGCGGCCATTGTTCTTCTCGTTTTGGCTTATCTTTTGCTATTATCTCCATTCAATTGAAGCAAATTATTAATCAAACAGATCCATTAAAAAGTGACGACTTGCCTACTTTCAGTACCATTTGGTCATCTTCATTCAATATCAATACAGACGAACTGTTTACAAGCGAAACTCGATACACTTTCTTTCAATGAACACAAACCAATCTGAGTGTCATAATTCAAGAGTCTATATTCTATGTGAGCAATGTACAAGAGTCAACTGCTCGTCAATCCGAAATTATCTTTCATAATCTTCTTTTAACAATGGTCGTCTTAGAGCTGTTTGGTTTATTATTTCTCATTATTAAACTATTACTAGTTCCTTTCTTTAATGTGATACTCAGTCGCGGGTGTGTATGAAATAAAGACCCACATCCACATCCTTTCTCTTTGCTATTCATGGACATTAGTACCTGCCGTGTTCGAAATAGTCTTTTAATCAATATTTAATGTTCGATCGTAATTTTTTAAAGCATTCAAATATTCTTGTTTTTCATTGTAATTACGAAGGAAAATATCGGTATCATTAAAAAGATCATCAACATAATTCAACGCAAGAAAAAAATTGATTGTTCTTGTTTTGATCCTCTCACATCCAGATTCAAATTGTAATTTCTAAGGTGATATAATTTTCAGCCCGATGTCACGTTATTTGACAGGGATATACACCGAACAAGGGTGAAAAATAGCTGATTTTGTATCTAAAAGTTCTCTGTTCCAAATGCTTTGATATATTAAAATTTTTTATTTTTGTTGGAAAAAGCGCGTCAAGATGCAGAGCATGACGTTGTCCTTTTTTTTTACTAACCTTTTGATTTTTACGTGGATAAGGTCATTGACAAGTTGAAGGCCTAAAAAAACTCTCTAAAAATGGGATCTTTTTTAAACATACGTGCCTATATTTATAAGAAAAGTAAAGTTAATTTAAAAAAAGGACAACGTCATGTTCTGCATCTTGACGCACTCTTTCCAACGAAAAAAAAAAATTTAATATATCAAAACATTCGGGATAGAGAACTTTTGGATACAAAATCATGAAACCATAAATCGAGAAAAAGCGAAAAACATTTTTCGAAGTGGATTTTTACAATTTTCTTCGCGCTTTTACGCATTTTTTGCGAGATTTGAAGAGAACAATCGTAAATTGTCGTTCTCTTTTAATGTATATAAATAAACTTCTTTTGAGGCTTGCCTAGCTTATTGTCCACGCCATGAATATAGTGGGTTTGGTGGTAGGTTATCATTTGCTCTAAATTGTGGTTGCCTAAATAAGTTCCCTATTTGTGTTCCTACATCAAATAATAAATTTCTGGTGACCAGAAAATTATTTTTTTTTATGCAACCTGAAGATGAGGGTGAAGAAAAGGGTGTGTTGTTATATATATTATCACCAAGAAAATCCCTAAATTAAGCTGGTCACCAGAATTTTTTTGATTAATTCAACAGCCATAAATAGGGAACTCATTTAGGGAACCACAGTTTAGGGCAAATGATAATCATTCCTTTTATATAGCATGATGAAGGTTATTAGAATGCCCATGTGTTCCATTGAAATGCGTATTTTCTACGAAAATATTTCAAAACTCGTTTTTTCCTGAAAAAACCGTATTTTTATGCAGAGGTCATTAGATAAAAAAAACTACAGTGTTTCTGAAAGAGCAGAAGATGGACTATCTTCTCATGCATTTATCTCAGTTTTCATTTTTTTGACGAAAACTGACTTTTTTCGAGGGGTGAAAGAAATAAAAAACAAAACACCATTTGAATTTGTTAATTAATCTAATTTATTAATTAAAATATTTATATCAATAATTATTTGAAATGATTGTTATTTATTTTCAGTTATTGATCATGTGTATCTATCTAAGAAAAATTTCTGGTGTACTCTTCATTGCAATTTTATTTGAGTGAGTTTATGTCGAATCTACATATGTTTGTCTTTATTTCAAGTGGATTATTGACTAAATAATGTTGCTACTTTATATATTATTATTGATTGATAACAAATTTTATTATTTATCGTAGAAAATCAAACAACGAATTTCAAGACTTTTCTGTTTGTTATTTGATGTTGGTGCATTTTGATTAATAAAAGCTGTATGAAAGGCAAATTGAGCAACATTATATTTACTGTCAAATATTTTAAATAAAAACATCTCATCGGATTTCATTTGACTTAAATAGTACCAAATATGCTTATCTTGGTAATTACGAGACATAATGTAACTTGTAGGATGATAATCGGATCCACGAATTGATATAGGATGAACATCTTTGTCGACATCAACCGATTGATAATCACAAATGGCCAATGGTTTTTCCGTTATTGGATTTTGACCTAACGGACGCCAGATGTTGATAATTTGAATTCGATTTTTCATTGCTCTTTCAGCTTCTTCTTTATTAAGTAATTTTTCTACTAATCTTTTAACTCCAGGTGCATCGGTGTCAACATGAGGACAAAAAACTGGATTTTTATGAGTCATATTACATTCTTCATCAGTTAGTGATGAACCTCGAGAACGAAATGTATAATGATAGATAATTACTCGAGAAGCACCTAGACGCTTCTTTAGAAGATCAGTAATCTCTTCATAATAAATTTTTTGTGTTTCGCTGCCTTCTTCAAATTCTTCTTTTATACAACCATTGTATTTGGTTACTTCAAGAGCATTTGTATCTAGATTGACACTCTTTTCCTTGCCTCGTAAGTCGTGAATAGTAACATCAACTGGTGATTGTACAAGATTTGATCTTAGTGACGTTGGAACCGAAGACCCTATTAACCAGGGAGGACACCCATCTATCGTTGTTGTTAGATAATTTATCTTTCCAATGACATCGTCAACCATTATTCAATCTACGTATTGCATAGAATTCGTGATTTTATTTTTATTTATACAACCAGATAAGATAAAGAAAAAATCTGCTCGAGAAAAGAATATATTATATGCTCTCATAAGTAACTATACGAAAATATGAAACGAAAAGAGAGAGAGAGAATGTAATGATGATGATATAAAATTATAACAATGAAGAAAAAAAAAATCACAGATACAGTTGAAAGTAGAAATAAATCATATAGATGTGAGGGTGAGTTGGATCTCAAATGAAATGTCTAATATGCTACTTAATCTTTTCGTTTTTATTGAACCTATGATCGATCTCTTCTCTCTATGACATTTGACTAATGTTCTTAATATCTTCTATATAAAAATCTGTGTCCTATATGCGAGTAACATGACTTGCTGTGTCAGCGCACTAAATAAACCGACTATCACTATCTCATCTACAAGTTTGTCAGTGTATATATTATTTTTTTCTTCTTCTTATCTTTCGAGGCAAAAGTAGTTTTTCTTCTATATTGTTCGCCGTGCAACATGATCATTTGAGCATGCCACTCATTTTTCTTTCAATTCCATTTATACTTTTCTTGATTTTAAGCTTTCGTTGTTTGTATCTATCTTATCAAAGAAAAATAGAGATTGGACAATCTAATAACAAACTACATTCATTGCTGTATTGAAGGTGCTTTGAATAACTAGCAATATATCAGATTCGCTTCTCATCGTCATTACATAAAGGGTGTGGGTGTTGATGTTTCCCTTACCCACACCCACCCCACCCTTCATTCTGAAATAATAATAACTTCAATATCAGTGAGTGACTCATCGAAAAATTTTCATACGGAGAGGCAACACTTTTAGTATTTGTTATATATGTGATAAACCAGTCTTGTTCTTCTCTCTTTTATTTTATGTTTCATTCGGAAGAAAAAAACAAGAGTGACGTTGATTGTTATCCTTTCTTTTATTTGTACAACTCGTCACTTTTCACGCCATATTTTTCGTTTGACGCAACAAAACAAATATTGCATTGAATTACGAGTAAGAAATTTTGTTAGTAGAAATAGTTTAATCTATTCAAGCCAATGATCGTCTGCAGTTCCTTCAAGTATAAATTAAGTTAAACATCGTTATTTAATCATTAATATTCATGCAAGAAAATTACCAGCCGTCACTTAATTTCTTAATCAAACAACAATAGAAAAAACAATTGTGTAACTTTTAGTTTGCGTTTTGATTGACTAACGAATATTTTAATATTAGAGAATTAAAATTAAGTTCGGTCATGAATTTTTGATTTTATTCAAGAAAAAACTCATAGCTGCTTCTCTCCACTATACCCGTTCGAAGGAATTTTTAGTTTTACGTAAAGAGTAAACATTCTTCTATCTTATCATCGACCTTTTACCCATAGTTAATCAGTATGCAGTAAGCAGTAACTGCTACATAGACAATTACTGAAAACTTTTGTTCACTCTTCATCTCTCTTAATTCAATCAATCAAACCAATTAGTAAGGAAGTATCGGAAGAAAGGCTGTTTTGATCTGTAAAACATCTTTAGTCTCAAAACAAACTATACCATTCGATCCATCACCTTGAAGTCTATATTATTATACAGATTTTATGATTATGAGGTGTAATCTTCGTTAATGTTTTGTTATAACATTCGAAAGAAGTTTGCGATCGAATCAGAGAACTGATCTTAAATCGAAGACTCAAGTTATTTTTAAGTTCCTAATTTGATTACCTAATGTTACATAAATGTAGTTTTAATGAATGATCGAAAAAAAACATATTTCCACTACCCACAAAATATGAATATATAGCTGCTACTACAAAGAAAGTTGTAGAACACAACAAACACTGCCTATATACAGTGCGTCAGCAGTAGCAGGCAGCGCTCGGAATGTAGATTTATACGGGCATGCACGGCGCGCACATTCGGAGCCACACTTGCACCCAGAACAAACTTTTTCAGCCACATTTCACACTTCGGATCCCACATTCACACTCACACCCTTTTTTTCTTGCTTGCGGCGGCGGTGGCTTGAGCGGTTTAGCTAGTGGGCAGCGATGGCTGGACATTTTTGATGATTATTTTTAAAATTTTCTTGGTTTCGAGAGATTTTGAAATGGAAAACGATAGAAAATGCTGATAGAGCCAAACTTTGACGCACATACCATACTTTGGGTTACTGTATTAAAAAAAGACTTATTCATACAGAAAAAAATGTCGATAAAATAGTCTAAAGCTGGTCGTTGCTAGAGGGAGTCGATTAAACATTGGTTTTCAACTTGAAAGACAGAGTTAGTTTGATTTAAATCGATTTTAAACTACAAAAAGTTTGTGCAAAGCAAAATTCTCAGCTTTGCTATAGGAAGAACATCTCTGAAAAACTGACCTTGAGTCTTGAAAACTTTCGAAAATCTAGTATCTTGTTTTGTACCACGGCGACAGCGGCTAAGACTCTTTAACCTTTTCTTTGGCTTTCGGTGGCGGCGGCTCAGTCGCACGGTTTATATCTCTAGATACAATCATGTTTTTATATTGTTATTGAACACAGAGAGAGCCATATTTGCAGCAACTGAACCTGATTTGATTTGAATCATGATGGAAAGACATGAAGTTAATCATCTAATTATTTCTTTTATAAACATTTATATGATTTCGTTTCAGATCGAAATTATTCGAGATATTCTCGTAGTGTTTTATATAATTAGACCAATTTTGACACAAGAGAAATGGCGACATTGTCTGAATCGAATCTATGTGTAATTTGCAAGATGGGTTCAGCGAGACGTTCCTGCGTTGGATGTAAAAAATACTTTTGTAAAGAACATTTAAATGAACACGAACAACAACTAGCGATAAAATTCGACAATGAAATAGTGAGATCTCATGATCAAATTCTTAATGAAATTCAAAAATTAGAAGAATCAAATAATTTATCAGTGGCTCTCTTTGCTCAAGTTGAACAATGGAAACAAACAACAATCAACAAAGTTGAGGAAGCGGCGGAAAGAGCTTGTCATGAACTCACCAAACTAATCGATAAACAAAGAATAGCAATAAAGAAACAACTAGAACCGATAACAAAAGAAATTCGTAGTCATCGAGAAGATGAAAATTATTTTGAAGATGACCTTGATCGACTTCAAACAAAACTCAATGAAATCCAACGAAGCATTGAACAATTTGTTCAAAAAGATACAACTAAAACTGTCATTGTTGACAATGATCAAATCGATTGGAATCGAATCATCTACATCCGAGAAGAACAAGAGGATAGTGAGTATTTTGAATTACATGTATGGACGAAAAGAAATTCTCCAACGAATCAATCGTATATTTTGGGGTGGATAAAACCTGAAGAATAAAAAGATCCACAAATCACATCCATGCCTAAATTCGCAAAACTTTGATAAGAATCAAAATATATAAAAAATTACCTTTCTTTTTTTCACATATTTCACTTTTCCTAGTTCTTTTCCATTGCCAAAATCCCACTTTCGAAACCAAAGATACTTATGCGATTGATGTAGAATCATTATTTGAAGGTCGTGAATAGAGATGTGTTAAGACCGAACTTCTCGGTCTCGCTCAGTCTCGGCCTTAGTATCGATCAATGTCAGTCTCGATTTAGGTATGCATCAGTTCCAATCCCGACTGGTTGACTTGGTACCAGTCCGTCTGAGTATCCAGTCAAATTGGGTCACTGGTTCGGCTGCTTACTACCCAGCTCTACTGACTATCCAGTAAAATGACCTAGAATTGATTCGAAAATCAGTATTTTTATTGTTGACCGAAGGTTTTCGAGTCGAGAAATCCGAATCTGTAATCAGTTTCTTACGAGTAGGTTTTTGAGAGACTCAGACATCACCAATAGTAAGATATCACAGAATTCGTTGATTTTTTTAATATGTTGTAGAGGGTAATGAGTTTAGTATTCTCTGAAATTTTCAGCTCGATCTGACCACTTTTTCCTATATAAATAATCAAAATACAAACGAAATTTTTCATAATTTGTAATAGTGATTTTCTGAGTCAAATCGACTTTCACATTTCAATTTATGAGATTTTCGAGTTCTCATTTTTCTAAATATAACTATTAAAGTATTGTCTTTCTGCACACAAAATTTTAGAAGTTTTCATCAATCCTCTGAGGACTTCTGAAATACCGTTTAAATAGTCTGTTTCGCCATTTTTTCTGTTTTTTAACCAAAATATCGGTCAATCGCCGACAGGAATATGAGAGTAATTGACTGTTGTGGCATAAAATGCAATTGACCGACATTTTGACAAAAAACAGAAAAAAGGGCAAAACAGGCTATTTAAATGATATTTCAGAGGTCCTCAGAGGATTGACGAAAACTCCTGAAATTTTGTGTGCAGAAGAATAATACTTTAATAGTTATATTTAGAAAAATGAGAAGTCGAAAATCTCACAAATTGCAATGTAAAAGTCAATTTGACTCAGAAAATCACTATTAAAAATTATGAAAAATTTCGTTCGTATTTTGATTATTTGTATAAGATAAAGTGGTCAGATCGAGCTGAAAATTTTAGAGAATACTAAACTCACTACCCCCTACAACAGATATAAAAAAATCAACGAATTCTGAGATGTCTTATCATCGGCAGTGTTCTTTAGTGACTGATTTTCTCAAAGATTTGCTCTTAAAAGTGCTTATCTTTCCTATTGAGTCGTTGTATTTATGAACGTGTTATAAAAATAAGTTCTCCACGATCCGACAGAAGAAAACAAGCTCTATCGTT